TGAATAATCACAAATCTATATTGTTTCTAATGGCTACATTATATTCCACTATATGCATGTCCCATATGTTATGTAGTCCCCTATTAAAGATCATTTAGTTTTTTTGTGTATTTTTGTTTGGTTTTTTTTGCTACTACAAGCAATACTGCAATGAATACCGTTACACATTTTGTGCTAATATTTCTGTCAAATATAGAGAGTGGAACAACCATAGAAGAGTAGAATTGCTAGACTGTAAAAAAAATCAATAAAATATATTTTAAAAAAAGATAAGTGAGAGTCATCAGTCTCGTGCTCAAGCCCTAGCTTTGCCATTCAGCAGCTAGGTGACCTTGGCAAGTCGCTTGCTCTATTGAGAGCTTCAGTTTCCTCTTTTGTAAATGGAGATTATACTCATTTTATTGTTTTTGAAGGTTAAATGAGATTTTAATTACAAATATTACAAACACCACAATAACAATTGCAAGGAAAATTACCAAATGACTAGATTTGTATAAGTCTTCCTTAATAATTATAAAATAATTATGTTGGTATTACCAAAGACAGATGAGTCAACAATTAATTGGGATTAATAAAGTCATCAGGAGGTGTAATTTCCACAAAGCTAACATACTGCTTACAAAATCACTGCTCTGGTTGTTCTGGTTCTCTACAAATACTCCTCCAAATATTTCCTAAATTATGTAGTTTCTTAGATGAAATGGAATTATCCAAATATGTAATCAACTACTCATCAAGATTTTTATTTCAAGTTTCTAAGAGGATCCTGTTTCTAAGCACACAGTAATGCAATTCAAGTAATGCCACAGAGATTTCCTAGAGCCAATAAATAAAATTCTAAAATTTTACTGTACTACATTGGACACTATACCCTTGATTCTTTCCCAAAACTAACACCAACCTAACTCATTCCTTCATTAAATGTCTCAATACCTAACATGCACCAAGTCCTATGCTAGGTACTTTGGGCATATAACCTGTGCTCAAGAGATAGACTCATATTCAAAATAAAAGGGCAAAGCATTACCTAAATGTGCTTGTGCCTTTGAAATAACAAATAACCAGACAAAGGTACGTGACCCATGAAACTCACCTTTTGGATGGACACTGATACACTGATGGATATGTCACATTTCTCACCCCTCAGCCATGTAAAACATAAAGCAAGAAATGAGATGCCATTGCCTTATGACTTACTTCCAAAAAGCTCTCTCAATGGCTCAGCTTATCTAAGTCTTCCTCCTTTATTTTCTTCTTCCACATCATGATTTTTACTAAGTTTTATGATGATTTTTTTAATGAGTGAAATTATCTGGAAAAAATATTTTTCAATTTTTATTTTTAATAAAAGTTAACACTGCTGTATAAAGTATTGCATATGAACACCATTTACACAAATATACACAAATTCAAAAAACTAAACTCCAGTTTATTTCCATAGTGTTAAAAAGTTCGAGAACACATAAAAATATCCAAAATCATAGTTTATTTTTTAGGAATGTAAACTCTGGGAATACAATTAGAAACAGGTATACTTAGTATGAAAATATTAGTATCACTACATAATTAGAAGTAAAGGTAAGAGGTACACAATAAACTTCATTTAAGAGAAAATAACAGTGTGTGAAACAGGATCTTGAATTTACTAGTAGAAACTTCATAGACACAGGTAGATACTCTAGAACTCTACTATAAAAAAACCACAAAAACATTTTCCAAATGTTCACTGCTAATCTCTTTAGATATGCACAAGGTACAAAGTATAGAAGACAACATATTTATGTTCTCTGATAAAGAATATAACAATACTAAACATAAATGTGAATAACTCAAAGTATTGAGTAAAATTTTACTAAGCAACAAATCTAAAAGTATAAATTCATGCTAAAGGATTAGAGAGGGTTTTTATTCCATCCAAAGATTGGGTAAATACTATTATACATTAATTTCTATCTACAATGCTTAGTTTAAGTGTCCATCAAATTATTCCTACTTTTTAAGACTTTTAAGAAAATATTTTTCAGTTACATTATTTAACATACCTATTTCCTTGAAGTGCATCCCTGTAATAAACTATACATTTATTGTTCCTATAGACTCAAATCTTAACAAACCTCTTTAAATATTTATTTAAAATTGTCTGAGGGTACATTTTTTCCATAATTTAAATTTCAAGATTTTAACACTTTTATTCTTCCAAAATAGGCAAAATCCCTTAAAACTGAAATTCTTTTTACCTATTTTCATTTAAAAAGTATTTTTTCCTTTAATTCATTTTTTTTGTTTTTAAATGAGTAATGTTTGCTAAGAAGTTACATCACAATTGAAAAGGGCAATAAAATATTGCTTTTTCAAAATGAACTTTGTCATCATTTAAGGACTGAGAATTTCTACTCTGCAGGTCTACAGAGGTCCTTAAAAAGTTCCCTAGTGGTGTACAAGGACTCCAGGTGCTCACTTGCCCTGGGTCCTCAGGGAAAAGTCTTCTTTGTTTCTCTCCCCACTTAGATTCCAAAAGACAAATGCTGGGAACTCAGTTTCAATAAAAGACCATAGGTATTTGGGTATTTGAAGAGTGAGAGGTTTAAAATGTGGAATGGAGCTACAATTTCTGCTCAGATCCGTTGAGCGATGGGGTGTAAGGCTCCAATCTTGTGCAGAATCCTTCTCATGATTAAAAAATATATATTATTCTAGATATGTAGGAAGTCTGTGACCAAATAGTCACATCAGCATCTTTGTGAGAAAATGACCTACAAAAGCCACCCAACTTTCAAATTTGGAAAAGATGAGTGGGAAGAGAATAGTAGGGATAATTACAATCATTATCATAGTATTATCCAATATTTATAATAGCTATAAAAATTTTTAAGTGTATAATCCTTATTTAAAATAGTACCAAAGGTACTGTAAAAGAATTTTACTGTTAATATATACTCCAGAAAACTAGCTGGTGGAAATTACTTGGAGCAAAAATTCAGGACCACCCCACTGAGTAAGCCTTCAGAGTTTTCAAAAGAATGTACACGTGCAGATTTGTTGTGCATTGTATAAAAGTGTGGTACTCCTTTGACACTTAAAATTACAGACATCTACAGCTCTGATTCCATTTATGGTTAGTAAGAAAAATACAAAATGTTACATTTTTATTGTAAAATAAATAAGAATCATTAAAATGTAGAATGAGAGGACTTTAAAAGTCCTGTCATTGACACTATTAAACAATTAATTTACCATTAAAACAATGATTATAATGAGCTAGTATCTAACATATTTGATCTAGGGTTGTGAGACCACTGAGACCTCTAAATGTTAGATAAGTGATTTGTTTGCACTTGATATTCTCCTCTCAAACTTTATCGTATATAAAAATCACTCGAGGCTCTTGCTAACATGCAGATTATGATTCAGTAGATCTGGGATGACCTGAAATGCTGCATTTTTAACAAGATGCCAGGTGATGTCAATGCTACTATACTTACAGTCCTCAGACCACATGCGTGGCAATGATCTAGTAGAATAATACCAAAATGAATTTTCATTATAACAGTTGAACATTAAAATCTCATCTCTCATTTTGCCAACTAATGTCTCCACAAACTTCATCTGCAATATTTCCTAAACATTTTAACTTGCTTAAACTGCTGATCTTTTAAATTAGTTCCTAAGATTATTAATACTGTTAGTAGCTATGCCTAGGGGAAATTCTTTGTTAAAGAATTACAAAAAGACAGCAGGAAATTCACAGTGACATTTTAAATTGTACACAGGATTCCTATTAAATTAATACTATAGCAACTTCCACTGTCTGGTTGCCTTACTTTTTTTTTTTTAACTACAAGTTATACCAATAGATGAACAATCAAATTATGCTAGAAACCATTTTCTATTCAGAGTTAATAAATGAAAATGAGTTCATGCCTTTTGAATAATTAGATTTAAAATGATAGCCAAAGCAGTTATGGTCAGAACTGCATTTATATCATAAATGTGTTAGCACTCAGTACACACATTTTTCACATATTGGAGCTCTGCATAAGCAGGTATAAGAAAAAGACTAGTATTTTCTCTGTGTGACCACAGCGAGGGACCGTGAATAAGGAGACCACTGTGTACTAACAGTGAAAGAGAACAAGCGGATAGCTCTCTAGGCCTTCTTTCCTAGTCAGCTTACTCTCAGCCTTAGCCTTGCTTTCTCTCTTACTCTGAATTATTTATTCTTGATTCACAGGCAACCTCAACCATAGATGAAATGACCATCACTAGCAAACACCAAACTTTTATGTCCATTTAGAAGTCACACAGCTCTCTACAGCCACACACAAGTTTGCTTAACTTCCACCCTATTGCATTTTTTATATTTATTTTTCATTGGGGGTAACTACATTGATCATTCTTTCTATTATAACAAAAACATTAAAAATAGGCCTGTTCATAAAATAAAAAACACATGTAATTTTATTCATATTTTATAACTTTAAGAATATAAACATAAATAACCCTAAATTAGTTAATAGATAAATATCCTATCTTAATTTTTTCATATTTTACAGATAAAAATTTACCTAATTTCCTTCATTTGCAGACAAACAGTATGGCTGACACTGGCATCTTGAGAGCTGTGTTGCAAGATTTATACAATTTCCAGGCCATCTTCAATGAGGTATGCTTTGAATTATAGGAATCCAAACTAGGATTTCTGAAGTCAAGTGGCATGATAAGTCAACCTTATGGCCTATCTTAGAAACTGAAAGGGATTTGCACCTGCTCAGCCCAGATCAAACACTTCAAAACAACACATCTGCTAGCAACATGATTTTTGACATACAAACGTCCCAAAGATAACAATAGAAATTCCTCTGTCCATCCACTGGTATCATATAATAGTCTATGTACTAAGTCACCAAGCACTTTCCAGTGCTTTATATAAATTCTTCTACTAATCTTAAAGATGGTCTGGTTACAAACATTCTTATCAGGCACTTTTCACATCATTTTTGTTTTTCACATGCTCGTTTTTCCAAACTGACTTGCTGAACAGCCAGATGTAGAATTCCCGGAGTTGCACCTTTTCATCCTTTAAAAATAGTTCCCATACATGGAGGTTTCCTTTTATTCTGAAGGCCAAACTTACATCTACCAAAATAGGAGTTATTAGGGGGGAAAAACAACTCATATCCTCACATGAGATGTAACCAATCTGATCAGACCACCTGCCAAAATGTATTGTCACAGTGACAATCCTAGGGCAACAGAAACAAACAGGAGAAAAAAAACCACACAGCCAAGAAATAACAAAACCATATTTCAACTTTACTGCAACCTAGACATTATTCCCTTCATAAAGCCTTCAGAACTTAAGACATGAGGGCTCTGTCAGGAGCAGTGATGAAAGACCCTGGCACTTTCATAAAGAAGCAAAGCCATAATTCCAGACTCGTTGGTCACATGAGAAAACTCTTACAAATTAATCCGTGGACAACGTAATGCTAATACTAGGAGGTCTCTGCTGACCTGATTGGTGCTTCATTGGAAGTTCAGTCCTTTCAGAAACGTAAATAAGCTTTTCTTCTTGGAGACTACAAGCGGAAAACCTGTTGGCATCTGTCCCTGTCCCACAGCCAACAACAGCTGATGGGTTATGTGGGACTGTGACACCACTGACTTGCTCAAAGGATTTACTAAATACAGTCGCAGCAGTCTTAGCCAAACCATGGCTGTTAGGTTTAGGCAGGGACTGGCTGGTTGTTAACGTAAGTCTCTTCAAAGAGAGGAGCTCAAGATTCTCACTTTGGGCTCTCTGAGTTTGTTTTCGAGCAAAGTGATCTTTGCATGACTCCCCTGTGGTTTCTTTTTCTTTTCCTCCAATTTTGTTTCCTCCTGACCGTCTCTGAGTCTTTCCTACACTTGTCTTGTTACTAGAATTGTGACTATTGTTTAATAAGCCTGACTGGCTGGTACTAGATGCAGCCCTGGAATAAAATCCCTCGTCAACTTCAGATATATCCATCAGTTCTTCTTGATCTGTTAATTCTGTATTTCCTAAACAAAGAAATAACAAAGATTAATTAACATCAAGTATTTTCAATAATTCTTTTTTCATGATTAATACCAAATCAATTACTTTAAATAATTAAACTTTAGCATAATTAGGTAAAGCAAAAGATTATAGACCAAAATCAAAGAATAAATCAAAACATTCTATAAAATGCCAAAAATAGTTCATTGTAATTAAATAACACTAATTTACAGTATATTAAACAAAGAGCATGCCATAAACCACACCCCACTATGTTTTTAGAAAGAATTTTCTTACTATCCATGCAAAGAATCAGAAACAATTAGGAAAAATACCACACAGTAAAGCTAGGGGCAAGCTCTCCTACAGTAACAAAGCAATAGAAAAATCAAAGTTCTTACCAAAGAACTTTAAAAAAATTTTATTAAAATATTTTCATAAAAAGGTTAAAGATTGTATACTATATTGTAGGTTATTTTATAAAGATTAAAAATATAGACTATAAATATCACAAGCTCAAACTTGTTAAAATTCTATATATATATATATTAACCTTTATATCAACGATGGCAAAAATACAATGAAATAAATAACTTTGATCTCAAAACATAAGCAGAAAATTATTTTGGAAGCAATTTTCTGCCTCAGTTTTCATAACAATTTAAGTCAGAGAATATATAGGTATAACCATTCCAAAGAGCATTAAGAGTCATTGAGAAATTATGGTGCATAATTCATGCATTTTGATTATTAGATGACATGCAAAATTGTTGTGACTGTACAACTGTTGCTTAAAACATGCAGCAGTGGCCCTTTTCCATGAGATACCTTGGAGTGCAGCTATAAAGTGCTGTGCTAAAACTGCACTCTGCCAGGTGAGTTTATTCCATCCTCCATCAGTTTTCTTACAGATTTTTGCCTCCTGATCTCTGGCAAGCCTTTGCTTTCAGTTCTAGGATCTGTGGCTGTTTCCTGCACACCCTGTATATGCTGAGCATCAATCTCTCCTAGTGTTCTGCCTTTTTCCCCATTCCCGGTTCTCTCTCCGGCCACATTTGTGACACTAATCTCAGGAATGACAAGGATGCCCAATTCAGTAGTATCATTATTGTTGTCAGGTTGCTCTAGAATTGAAGATGATAAGACAAAATGATGGCTGAAAACAAAACAAAATAAAAATGCAAAACAAGAAAAACAAAAGATCCAAAACAAAAACTGGACAACTGAATGTTACAAATCAAGTCAAATATTTGCACTGCAGAAATTTCCATAATTTACAATACTGATGACACTGGAAACAATAAGTTCATATTGTTTTAAATGACAATGAAGAAACTCACAAAGCATCAATATATGTTCTGCATTTTTTCACACACATATTTGACATGGACTATGAAACAGAAATTTTTTATAAATCAAACGGGATTTCTATTGTTTTAAGATAATAGTGTGACCACTTGAACCTATTTATAAAGCCTTAGGCAAATATTCAAGGATATACAGCCAAAACTCTAGCTTTTGTCAACAAAAGAAACCAAGTCACTTAGGGATTCCTTTTTGTACACTTAAAATTCTATTTTTTATTAGGTTAAATTAAAGCTGACTTCATAAATCACAATATTGGAAAAATGCTCATTCACTTATGATACATGGTTAATAACACTACTGGTATAGTTTTTGTCTCACATACCAATCATCTTTTATATTAGTAAATATTAATGCAGCTGTGATATAACATTCCACAAATTTAGGCCATCTTGTAACAGTTCATTACTAAGCTGGAAAAAAGTAAAAATGGATTTGGAAAAACAAATTGTGTGTTGGTCCTTTATTTTTGAAAATGGCCATTGCAATCAAAACAAAGAAATGAACCTCCTAACTAGTTTATACTTGTAGACATTTTATTCTTTTTGTCTTAAATCACAAAGGCATGATTTTATTTAAAGTAGTCAAGGAAATGCCTCTAAGAAATAGAAAAAAAGTAGCCTATGTCTACCATGGGCCAGTAATGAAAATTAAAGTTCAAAACAACATAAAACTATGTAAAACATTTTATATTCTTAAAAAAATGCAGACCACAAATCTGCTTGAGAGACATTACATATTATTTTCAAATGCTTTTCATGATAAGATCATAATGTTCCCATTGGTGGTGCTAAAGCATGTGAAACAGTAACAGGTAGTAAAAAAATGGAGGCCAGAGCCACATATTCCTAAACTTTGGATCCTGACCTTATGGCACATTGGTATTAGCTGGGCATCTTGAAGAACTACCAATGCCTGGCTCTCACATGAGACATTCTTATTTAATTAGTATAAGCTATGATCTGGGCACTGGGATTTTTAAAAGCTCCCAGGTAACTAATGTGCAGCAAAGTTTGGAAACCACAGTTCTATTCTGATCTTTCACATTCTGAAAACTTAAAAAGTTATTATGGATGCCCATACCCAGCACAATATGCACTTCTGGAGGGCCTCAAACCTTCATGTTGCCCTGGGCCGGCTAGCCAGTGTGCTGGTATAATTTCCCATTTACCTAGTGCCTCAGAAAAATTTGACTGAAGGTTCTCTAAATGAAATTTTTATTTCCTGAACAGACCAAAGCATGTTAATAAGGTAGCATCACACTGCAGCTTCTGGGTGTCCCTACAACACAGGTTTAATGAGAATAGGAAGTTCCAACCAAGCCTATCCCCCATTACTAACAGCTGTGTTCAAGTCAGGGCAAGTAAAATCTTAGTGAGGTGAATGCTAGAGGGCCCTACAACTGAGAGTAAAATCACAACGACACTGTTGGGAGACAACCAAGACTTATCTATTTACAATGTAGAAGCAGTTTCACAGATCTATTAAAGGGACCATCAATCCAAAAAATCATAAACTATGGAAATTATCCAGACATAACAAAGCCAATACATATTAACACAACAAAATTTTTAAAAATAAGCATAGGTGGCCTAACAGAATAGAAAATACTACTATTTGCATCGAATGGCACTAAATCACTTTTTGAGAGTGTTCACATAATATTATTCAATTATATTCTCAAAACAATGTGTTCTAGTGAGCCTCTGAAGTAGGCAATTTACTCAAACTCCCATTTGCAGACAAGAAAACCGAAGTTCAGAAAGAGCCACAAAACTATTCAGTGGGGAGCTAAATAGCAAAATCTTTTGACCTCAAATACTATAAATTCTAACTCTTCAATTCATTAAAATCAAATCGAGTTAAATGTTCTCTGACATCCTTCAATTAAGTTTAACTTATTTGCTAGATTCCTAGTCATTTCATAGAAAGCAACTGTGGTGAAAATTTAGAATTCTGAGAGCAAAACTATAAAATGACAATAATAATAATACAAAGCAGCACTAGGCAACTGGATTGCTAATCACATTTCCTGTGATAGTGGTGAAGGTCTGCAGCCCAAGAAGCATAATATTAATAATTTTTAAACATGAAATTAGGTGGCAACTAGAAAACATAAAACGTATGATTTTTCACAAGCACAAATCTTTAATTAATATATGCATATTATTTGGTAAAAATGGAAAAAATTTAACTGCTTAGTAAAGTAAATTCATAAAAAGAAAAACAGAAAACTGTAAAGAGCCAGAAACAACAGAAATATAATTCTCAGGAAAATTACAGAATAAAGATAATTATGCAATTCCAATAAACATTTGTTACATGAATACTGCTGTCCATTATTTTTCCAAGATCTTCTACAAAGTTTTGTGACCCATTCTCCCTACACACACCTTCTTACTGGTCTCATTGTTCCCTAAGCCTGGAATACTCCTCGTTTGACCATCCTATCAATATTCCCCATATTTTATATACCCTTCTCGCTACTTCTTAGCACTTTATCACTCTCTAACCTATAATTATTTATCTTGTCTACTAGATGTAAGTTCTATGAGGGAAAGGATTTTTGCCTGGTCAGTGCTGTATATACTCAGCACCTGAGAAAGCAGTTTGCATATAGTAGGTGCCCAATAAATATTTGTTTGATGGACTGAAAAAATTTCCTGTTATAAGGTAAAATTATTAGAATTACTAAAACATGCAGAAGACATGAGAAAAGTAGGCTAGGAATGTGTTACTTAAATTTGGAAAAGGAAAAATAATATATAGCTGATATTAGTAAGAATTTTTTAGCTGACAGAGAAAGGCAAAGGCTCTTTGCTTTGGAAAAGTGAAGTCGCCATCTCTAAATGTAAGTTTAGTAAAATACACAGATAATAGGGGGTGAAGGCATGGACCGGGGGGTTGGGAGGTGGTGATGGCCGGGGAGAGGTCAATGGGGAGAAAGGAGACATATGTAATACTATATGTAAATCTTTAAACAAAAACAAAACAAACAAAAAACCTGGAGGGGAAAAAAAAGATTTTTAAAAATCTATAGTTCATTTATTATGTCATCCATAGGATAACATACATACCTAAAAAGAGGCAGTTAATCCTTTCTTTAAGAAAATTATAGATATGTTTTAAGGGAATATAAATGCATATGAAAACAGAATCTGTTTAAAAGCCCAGAACTTAAAAATCTATGCAAAAGGTGTCATGATTGTTCTATAACTATAAAAGCAATACTTACATTTGACTTCAAATAATTCGAAAAGTTCAAAAAAGGTCCAAAGAGAAACTTCTCAGAGAATATTTTATTTGTATACTCTCTATAAATAGGTAACCTTCTCTCCATATACAGAAATGAGGAGAGTTAAAGAATACTTTTAGTGGACATTTCCAAATTGGATCTCAAAGGCACTCAAATAATTTCTCCCTACAAAATTTCTTCTGGCTTTGAGGGGGGGAAAGGTGAAACAAATTGCAAACATTATTAAAACTGATCACGAAAAGCTGTGATTTCTCCCCTGGGTATGTTATAATCCCAAATATCAACTTCATTATGAAACTCTTTATCCCAATTTTAGCTTTTATATTTTAAAGGCTGCCCTATTTACTAAAAGTAATCATTTAAATTAAGGAACAATATATTTCTTCATAGAATTCACACAGC